CAAGCCCTAGGCAGGTTGGCTCCAGATTGGTTTAAGACTTGTTTAAATCATGAAGTTCCCCACCTTCATGTGGGGCCTGGAGATCTCCCAGAATTACAATTTATCTCCAGACTACAGAGATCTGTTTTCCTGGAGCAAATGGTTGCTTTGGAAAGCAGACTCTGTGGCATTATATCCCATGGAAATTCCTCTTGACTCCAAAACACCCCCCCCCCCCCCCAAACCCACACGTCTCTCCACACCAAAACAAATACCCCCCCCCCCAAGCACCAAGAAGACAGAGCATCACTTGCCCCAGAGCCCCTATCTATACCTTGTGGCTAATAGCCACTGATGGACCTCTGCTCCATATGCCTATCTAATTTGAAGCTGTCCATGCTTTTAGCTGCCACCACTTCCTGTGGCAGTGAATTCCATGTGTTAATCACTCTTTGGGTGAAGAAGTACGTACTTCCTTTTATCCGTTCTAACCTGACCGCTCAGCAATTTCATGGAGTGCCCACGAGTTGTTGTATTGTGAGAAAGGGAGAAAAGTACCTCTTTCTCTACCTGTTCTTTCCCATGCATAATCTTGTAAACCTCAATCATGTCACCCCTCAGCCGTCGTTTCTCCAAACTAAAGAACCCTAAGCGCTTTAACCTTTCCTCATAGGGAAAGTGTTCCAACCCTTTTATCATTCAAGTTGGCCTTTTCTACACTTTTTCCAAAGCTATAATATCCTTTTTAAGGTGTGGTGACCAGAACCGCACACAGTATTCCAAATGAGGTCTCACCATTGATTTATATAGGGGCCTTATGATATTGGCTGATCTGTTTTCAATACCCTTCCTAATAATCCCCAGCATAGCATTGGCCTTTTTTATTGCAGTCACACACTGTCTCAACATTTTCAGTGAGTTATCCACTACAACTCCAAGATCTCTCTCTTGCTCAGTCTCTGCCAGTTCAGACCCTATCAACGTGTATTTATATTCAGGATTTCTGGCTCCAATGTGCATCACCTTGCACTTGGCCACATTGAACCCCATTTGCCATGTTGACGCCCACTTGCCCATCCTTGACAGATCCCTTTGGAGTGCCTCACAATCCTCACTGGTTTTCACCACCCTGAACAACTTCGCATCATCCGCAAATTTAGCCACTTCACTGCTTACTCCCAACTCCAAATCATTAATGAACAAGTTAAAAAGCAGTGGACCAAGTACTGATCCCTGCGGTACCCCACTACTTACCCCCCTCCACTGGGAAAATTGCCCATTTATACTCACTCTCCTTTTCTATTAACTGGGGGTTGGCAACTCTAGTAAATCAGCATAGGATTGTCCCAGGAAGCTTCTGGTTCCAGTATGCTGCTGCTTTTTTTGTTTGTTTGTTTCTCCTTCCCAGGACTTGCCAGGGGCCGAATCTGCCACCAGCTCCCTGCACCTGGCCTATGGCTGGGGTTGCCAGCAAGCCTGGAGACTATTCTGCTCTTTTAACAGCGTCTTATGTGTGGAAAACGGCAGCTGAGCCTTTTCATGGCATGATGGTAAATACTGTCACCAATAAATGGCGCTTTAGAAGAAGAGGAGGAGGAGGTTGGATTTATACCCCGCCCTTCATTTGGAAGAATGAGTCTTTTTTCAAAGTGCCACAAAAGACTCCTTTTGGCTCCTGACATACCATTTATTTATTTACTTATTTATTTCATTGCATTTATACCCCGCCCTTCCCGCGAACGGGCTCAGGACGGCTTACACGAGCACAAAGTGCATACAATACATAAAATAAATAAAAGCAGTTAAAATTCAATTCCATCAGGATGCAAGAATAGAGAACTCCCTACATTTTGCATAGCAGAGGGGAGGGTTAAGGCCACACTTGGGTGTTACACGGTCCTCTGGCGGTGTCACTCTACGGTGGAGTGGTGGTGGTAATAGTATTCATCTTCCACCAACCATAATTTGGAATAATAATAGCAACTGAATGTTGTTTCTTCCATTCTGTTTTTCAGACTTCTGGTTGGTTCTACAAACCAGATCCTATTCCACTGTTTGCTGAATCGCCCATCCTGTTGACTCTATGTAGTCCGCCTTGAGTCCCAGCGGGGAAGGCAGACTACAGAGAAGGCAAACATAAATAATAACAGAACAGAGTCTGAGTCCAGGGGCACCTTTAAGACCAACCGAGTTTTATTCTGGGTATAAGGCTGCCTGCACACTTCAAGCAAGTTTCGTTCTGGGTATCAGCCTTCCTGCACATGCACGCTCCAAGGATGATTCATTCCTGCACACTGAACTGCAGGCTGTGGAAGGTCGGTAGTTCAGCAGTTCGAGACCCAAGTTGCCGCATGACGGAGTGAGCTCCCGTCTCTGGCCCCAGCTCCTGCCAACCTAGCAGTTCGAAAGCAAGAAATTGCAAGAAGATAAACAGGGACCACTTCGGTGGGAAGGTGACAGCGTTCCGTGCGCCTTGGTGTTTAGTCATGCCGGCCACATGACCACGGAAACGTCTTCGGACAGCGCTGGCTCTTCGGCTTTGAAACGGAGATGAGCACCGCAACCTTTACCTTACACTTCAACCAAGGTTCATTCATTCATTCATGCATGCATGCTCACGAAGGCTGATCCACCCAGCATGAAACTTTGCTGGCCTTAAAGGTGCCCCGGCCTGGACTCCCAACTTGGCAGGGCGTCCCACCGGCGAAAGCGCCGCACGCGTTGCAAGGGCCAACCAGCCTGCCGCCGCCGACGCCCTCGCCCTCTGCCGGCCTGAGCGGCACGTGGCCTCCGCCTGGTGCTCCCCTCCCCCCCGCTTTACGGCACCCTCCACGTTGCGACAGTGTCGCGCCCCCCCCCAGTGCCGCTAGGCGCTGCCCGCTCGGGAGAGGCGGAGGGAGGGCACTCGCCCGCCCGCCTCTTCCTCCGCTCGCCTCACGCGCCGGAGCGACAGGCGGGCCGGGGCGCCTTCTCCCCCTCCCCCTCCGACCTCCTCCTCG